GTTATCCTCATTCTTTCGAGTTAGTTGTATCTTGACAAGCAGTATGCTGGACAGCACGTTATGCCGGGGATCTGTGTGCCGCTCGGGCTTCAGTGCTGCAGTGTTTCCAGTGTAGAACCTTCCAAGCTGCCTGCCACAGCAGCGCAACTGAGCTTGACTTCCGCAGCGCAAGTCTTGGCTCCGTTCCAGCTTTGCAACATTGCTCAGCCTTGTCTGGGACAGGCTGCTATGGCCCACCGGACAGGCCATGCGCTGATGTTCCTGGGTGCTTTGCTCACCCTTTTGCACGAACTCCTCGGGCCGACAACCATGTTCACCTCCAGTGGCGTGGGCGCAAAAAGTCGGGCCGAAGCAGAGGCTTTGGCATTGAAGTTGGGCCTCGGGCGCCCCGCCCCTCGGCTTCCAGCATCCTTGCGTCTCCCTCCATGCGCAGGTTTGTACGCGTCTGAGGCCACGTTGAAGGAGTTCCTTCTGGACAATTCCTATGTTCCCCCGGCCGTAGAGTACAAAGTGGCGTCCCGAGGGAAGTACTACGTGGCGACAGCAGTCGTGGGTGGAAAAGCCTACCAGGGTGCCTGGATGCATGGCGCATGTCTTCCCTACAAACAAGCTGCTTAGGATGATGAAACGGCTGGGTTGGCAACTTTGGGCCTTTTATGCCTAGCCATTGCCACAGGTGCACCTGCTGAGACCTGCCTGGGAGCCGAGAGTAGCGCAGCACATGCTGTGCTGCGGTCTCTGCGCCTGTTTGCCAGAGACAACGAGGCAGGGAGGATGCAAAGTGCTGCGCCTGCCAAAGACGCCTTGGCGTTGAATAAATTCCATAAGTGAAGTGGCAGCTTGCAGAGCCACGAGTATGCCAATGTGTCTTCCATGTAATCCGTTTCTGGAGCCCAGGAAGGTTACTTTGAGCTACCACGTGGGCGCAGCTCCCGAGAAACATCCAGACTGGCCTCAGGCGGCAAAAGAGAAGGAAACCTGCGCTACATCGAGCGCATTAGAAGCTCAGCTTGTCCTAAGTTGCTGTTCGTCTTGGACTTTGAAGGGGCAGGCTCGCATTTGCAAATCGGTGGCGAGTGGAAGGGGGCTGCTAGGGAAAGGCGGTATTGCTAGAGATGGTTATGTGGAAAGCAGTCCCCCAGACCAAGTCTGAGCTCAGGTGGAGCAAAACTGGAGATGACAAAGTCCTCATCCATAAAGGTATCGGGAGCGGCTCAGCAGCA